ATGTTTCTATGATGCTGAACAAGTTTTAGAATAACTTCCAGACTAAGAGACTAGGAATAAAGACCTGGAGATCTACTTCTAAAAATCTGCAAATGAAAACCTCATAGATCATAATTGTTTCATCTGCAGCCAAACATGGGAATGGCTCAGGACTAGAGAGCAATTTGTTGTATTGTGCATGGGGTCACCATGAGTCAGTGGCTGGCTTAAGGGTAGCAACAACAATAACAACAACTATTCAAAAGAGATGTTTAAAAAAAAAAAGAGAGAGAGAAGTCAGATATGGAAATCACACATTTGATAGAAGACTTGTACCAGACTACACAATTAATTCTCAAAATCCAATAATAAGAAAATAAAACATCTCAATTAAAAATGGGCTAAGGATTTGAACAGATACTTTAAAAGAGATATATAAATAACACATGAGATGAAAAGATACTCAACATTGTTAGTCATTAGAAAAATACAAACTAAAATCATAATGAGATAGTGCTAAATGTCTATTTAAAGGACTAAAATTGAAAAGAATAACCAAATCAGATATGGGCATAAATGCAGAAACAGGAATTCTCAGACACTTGGTGGTAAAACAAGTTAGGAAACAGTTTGGCAGTTTCTTAAAAAGTTAAACAAAACACCTACCATATGATCTAACAATTCCACTCCAGGGTATTTATCCCAGAAACATGAAAGCAAATGTCCGTGTAAAGACTTGCACCTGAACACTGTAAGGGTAAAAATAGTACCTAATAAGGATAAAAAAATTCTTTCTAACGCAAGGCAGGGGGGAAAAAAAAAAAGGAAAGATTCCCCCTCCCTTCTCTTAGAGTATTTACTTACAAGGAAACTGGTAACTCTAAATTCTTTCTCTGCCTCTTTGAGATGTATGTAAATTTAAGAGCTAAGTAAGCCTCTCCAATGGGAGCTCTGGTAGCTTAGTAACTAAGGCACTTGACTGCTAACTAGAAGGCTGGTGGTTCAAACCCACCAGCCACTCCTTGGAAGGAAGGAGGGGCAATCTACTTCCGTAAACCCAAGGAGGGGTTGCTATGAGTTGGGTCTGACCTGATGGCACGTAACAACAACAATAAGCCTCTCCATAACCCAGCCATGTCTTTCTCAAGGACCTGGGAGTCATCACTTGGAAATGTAATCATCCAGGAAGATAAGGCCCCAATCTTCCAGTTTCCTGGAAGGAGAGTAGGAGCCTTACTATGGGTGTGTCTGACTCCAAGTTGCAAACCTACCTCCTGTCATAAGGACATGAGAAAAAAAAAAGTATTTTTCCTCCAGATAAAGGCAATTAGCAAACACAAATGGCCACCCCAATTACCAGGTGACTTTAGGATGAACTGTGTGTGATAAATGATGCTGTCAGTACTCTTACTTGAGGACTAGTTATGCTTGAGAACATACATACAATGAATTTCACCTGCTTGGCTATAGAAAAGGGTGAGATTTTTTCTCTTTTTCAATCTCTTTAGCAGATAGCCTATAATGCACATCACATTCTGGATTAATGCTTATTCAATAATAAAATTGTTTTCTTTCCCTTCAACCTTTGTGGAGAAGTTTCCTAGGTTAGCAGATTTTAATTATATTTCTCAACAACATTCACAGAAGCTTTCAGTGTAATAGCTAAAAACTGGACACCAATAAAATGTCCATCAACCTGTAAAGGCTAACAAATTGCTGTATATCCCTACGTTAGAATACTACTCAGTAATAAAAGGGGGTGAACTACTGATATGTGCAATGATAAGGAATCAATCTCAAAATAATTATGCTGAGTAAAAGAAGCTAGAAAAAAACATATACTATATGATTCTATTTATATAAAATTCTAAAAAATGGAAACTAGTTTCTAGTAACAGAAAAGCTATCAGTGGATGCTTAGAGATTGGAGGTAGGGAAATGGAATTGGGGGAGATCAGACAAAAGGATTATAATGGGGCATGAGACAAGTTTTGGGGGAGATAGATTTGTTCATCATCTTGATCCAAGTTTTATGAGAGTACAAAAACGTTAGCAACTTATATACTTTAAATATGTTCAAGGTTTTTTTGTGGGTCAATCATACCTCAATAAAACTGTTAAAAAATAAAGAAAATTAACAATGTATTTCAGAAATGTTAAAACATTAGGGAACATCCTTTCTTTGAACAGGAAAGAGTCAAGATTCAAATTCATGACCGTTATCTATAAAAGAGGAGTCCATGGGTGGCACCAACAGGTAAGCACTCAACTATTGGCTGAAAGGCTGGCAGTTTACACTCACTGACAGGGATCTTAGAAGACAGGCTTTGAGATGTGCTTCCAAAAGGTCACACCCTTGAAAAACTTGTGACAGTTCTACTGTGCACAGAAAGGGTCACCATGAGTGGGAACTGACTGGAGGGCAAAAAACAGTGTCCATAAAAGGTGCTTTTTTAAAAAATGTATAAGGTGTGTAGTGCCTAAGGCACTTGACTGCTAACCAGAAGCCTAGCAGTTCAAACCCACCAGCCATTCCTCGGAAGGAAGGTTGGGCAATCTACTTCCGTAGTGATACTGCCTTGGAAACCCAAGGAGGGGTCAGTATGAGTCAGGTACGACTCAACGGCACATAACAACATCAAAAAAAAAAAAAGGAAACCTCACCTTAAAAAAAAAAAAAAAAAGGTGGTGGTGGATATAGTAGAGGTTTGTCCATTTATGTTTTTCAAGCCTAGTTCTAATGTAATCTCTTTTTCTTGAAGCCTTTTCTCATCAATCCAAGTACAAAGTGATTATTCCTTCCTGTGAATCACCACATCACTTAATTACATTACTTTTCAGATATTAATCCAATAAAATCATCCATCTACTCATCACACCTTTATTAAGTAAGTGCCTAAGGCATTTGACTGCTAACCAGAAGGCTGGCAGTTCAAACCTACCAGCCATTCCTTGGAAGGAAGATTGGGCAATCTATTTCTGTAGTAATACTGCCACGGAAACCCAATGAGGGGTCGCTATGAGAAGGATCCGACTCAACAGCAGTGAGAGACAGGTGGGCCAGAAACAGGCTAAAATATCTCTCCCATTGCCATGGAGTTGATTCCAACTCATAGAGACCCTATAGGCCTGAAGGACAGAGTAGAACTGACCCATAAGGTTTCCAAGGCTGAAATGTTTACAAAAGCAGACTGTCAAATATTTCTCCCATGGAACATCTGGTGGGTTCAAACTGCCAACCTCTGGGTTAGCAGCTGAGAGCTTAACTCTGTATCACCATAGACAGAGGCTAAGTGCTAGAAATACAAAGGTGAGGAGGGCATAGTTTTCCCCTTGTGAGCCTCATAAAAACCAAAAACCAAACTCACTGCCATCGAGTTGGATCGGACTCATAGCGACCCTTCCTTGGGTTTCTGAGTTGGCATCAGTACAGAAGTAGATTGCCCAACCTTCCTTCCAAGGAGTAGCTGGTGGGTTTGAACTGCCAGCGTTCTGGTTAGCAGTCAAATGCTTTAGGCACTACACTACCAGAGCCTCCTAGGATGGTGCAAAAATCAGGTATATTTTTTAAATTAACAGTAACACACTGTAACAACTGTTTTAAGAAACATAAAAATTAGTAGAAGTACACAAAGAAAGAAATTCATTTTGGCAAACATGCTATCTTATACTGTAGTGATTTGTTCAAGACTCTATGTCTCTACCAGACTAAACACTCCCTGAGAACCAAACCAAAAATCAAATTCACTGCCATCTAGTCCATTCTGACTTATAAGTGACCCCCATTGGGTTTCCAAGGCTGTATATCTTTATGGAAGCTCAGCCTCATCTTTCTTCTACAGAGCAGCTTGTGGGTTCAAACCACTGACCTTTTGGTTAGCACAAATGCCTTAACCACTAAACCACCAGAGCTCTTTCTCTGAGAATAGGGACCATGAAGTATTCATTTGAATGATCTGCCAAATTATACCTACCACAATACCTGGCATGAGTATTGTGAGTGAACGGATGGATGGCAGATGGATAGGTAGGTGGGTGGCTGGGTGGGCAGGTGGCTGGGTGGATGGATGATGAATGGGTGGATTTCATAGGCATCTATTCTTTGACTAGAAGGCAGAATCACCATGCTGCCAACTTCACAGTTGAGTTTCAACTCTTATCTACTCTGTCAACAAAGGCATGACAATCATGGAAAGACGACAAAAATAAAACCCAAATCGAAGTTCCCACAATCCCAAAGGAATAGCTAACACCCATTATCCCAGTGAAGAAAAGATGAATAGAGTAGCGAGGGGAGAGCTGGTCAGCAGAAATCAAAGACAAGGTATATAGAGACTGATGATTCACAGTCCCACCAGAGTTCCAGGGAGACCCCGGTTCTCTGTAAGTATCACCATCAGGTGTTTCTCTGTCCAAAGGTACATACGTGGACGCCAGTCACATCATCTCTTTAGGAATCACACCAATTATCATTGTGAAAGCAATTTTTGGAGATTAAATTTTCAGCTTTCTGTTTTCCCAAATTATCACAACTCCCCTATCTGTGATCAATTTCTGAAGGATCAGGAAAGTGGAACAGATAACAACTATGAAAAAAATGTGAGAACAGGGTGATGGCAAAGCTTATTTCTGTCACTGTGATAAAAATATTTGCAATCATTGAAGTTCAATTAGGAGAAAACTAGCACAAAATGAAAAGGTCTCAAATTACAATGGAAAGATTTGGATTAAACACCAAGTGGAAATCCCTTCTAAAGCTAAAGAAATAGCTTCTTTAGACAGTGTAATTCAACATGACAAGAATAATTTCCCTCTGAAAGATAAGGCAAATTAGTTTTTTATACTTACATCTAAAGGAAAAACAGGTCTCAGAAGGGAAAAGCAGTAGAGATTTATTTAAATCTGTCAGGTATCCACCAGCTGGTCAGATGGCTCAGGGGATGACAGGTGCACCCTGGGGCTCAGTGGTCCTCCTGAGCCCAGAGTCTGGGGTCTGCCAGTGGGCCTCGTGGGATTCTTACCTGTAGATAGGGTCCTGCATCACCAGCATCTTGCTCTCATCCCACGTCCACTCCTTTTTCTGCAATAAAAGAAGCTGTAAATGAATAAGTTAGGCTTGTCCTCAGCTACAGAACCGGGGCATACACTGAGTTACTAATGCTTATGCAAACACATGCATTTTGCTCCTGGCCTTTTTTCCCTCTAAGGGGCCCAGAGTTGATTACTCAAAAAGGACAAGTGGAAAATGTCAAGTGTCTAGTTTGAACAGCTTCCTTCAAGCACTTCAGAAGAGTATCTCTCCAGGGTGCTGAGGGTAGGCAAGAGTTGAGAAGACTATCGGCAAGACTCTAAATCAGAAATTCACTGAGAAATCACCAGAAAACAAAGACTGTGCATCATTCCAGAGGAGTGGGAGTGGCAGGAGGAACAAAAGAGGAAAGAGGGCAAAGACAGGCCTTTGAGACACTGTGAATGATGCTGTCAAATGCAAATGAAATGTAGGTCTCACCCTTCCTCCCTTGAAGAAGGGGGAGAAAGTCCTACACAAGCCTAGTGAGTTGACTGGGGCATTTACAGAGTTACTCATAAGAGGATAGTCATTCTGGCTTTGAACCTAACTTATTGTGAACACAAAGGAGACCCCTTCAGTAACTGGAGAGGAGGCTAGAAATGAAGAGTGGAGAAAAAGAGGATTCAAGTGCAGTACTGGAGTCCCCAGGCACTTGATGAGGAGAGTAGCACCTCCAACCTGCAGAGGGTTGGATTCAGGTCCAACCCTAGGTGCAGGGACAAAGAAACCTGCTTGACCTCACAAGATTTTGTCACAGAGACAGTGCTGTCCTAACTAATCAGGGAAGATTGCTCTCATCTCTTTTTGAAAGAGAGAATTAAGAGAAAGAAAAAGGGCAAGAAGGTTATATTAATTATTGCCTAACAGGTGCTTAATGAGAGTTTAATGAGTATGTGGGTTTCTCAAAAATAATGTACAAAGTGGCCACTCTCAGGACCTATCAAAAAACCAAACCAAACTTACTGCCCTCAAGTCAATTCCAACTTACAGTGATCCCCTTTGGGTTTCTGAGACAGTGAATCTTAACAGATGTAGACTGCCCCATCTTCTTTCTGTAGAGTGGCTGGTGGGTTTGAACCTACCAGGATTTGGAAATTGCTAGGCCTCAACCAGGGACTACTGGGGGAAAAGGTGAGGTGGAGGGGGCGACTTTGTCTAAGCCTTGAGGGTGACATCAGAAAGAAGTGTTTCTACAGCAGCTTTACTAAAATGCAACATTGTACATATCTGGCATGTACACACACACACACACACAGAGCGTTTGATCCTGAATACTGATTCCACACAGAGAGGTGGATTTTAGAGCACTTTACAAACATTCAAGAGCAAACATATTTGCTGTTATAGAGACAAAAATTTAGATAACTAAGAATTCATTTAAAAAAAAAAAAAAGATGCCTCCCTATGATTGCTACTCACTGCTCTATGATTTTATTATATAAATATCCTCTTTGGTGAAGTGTCTATTCATATCTTCTGCCCACTTTTAATTGGATTATTTATCTTTTTGTTGTTGAGGTGTTGGGAGTTTTCTATAAATTCTAGAGATAAGTCCCTTCTCAGATATGTCACTGCCAAATATTTTTTTCCCAGTCTATATGTTCTCTTTTGACTCTTTTGCAGAAGCCTTTGGAAGCACATAAAAATTGAAATTTTAGAAGGTCCCATTCATCTAGTTTATCTTCAGCTGTTTGTGCATTTTGGGTTATGCTTGATCGTCTATTTATGGCATATGTTAGGGCCCCTAAATTTGCCCCTAGTTTTTCCTTGAGGGACTTTATAGTCTTAGGTTTCACATTTAATCTTTGATCCATCTGGAGTTAGTTTTTGTGTATGGTGTGAGGTATAGATGTTGTTTCATTTTTCTGCAAATGGATATCCAGTTTTGTCAGCACCATTTGTTAAACAGACAATCTCTTCCCCATTTAATGGATTTCAGTCCTTTATCAAAAATCAGCTTACCATAGGTCAATGTATCTATTCCTGGGTTCTCAACCCTATTCCATTGGTTTACGTGTCTATCGTTGTACCAATACCAGACAGTTTTGACTACTGTGGCTGTATAGTAGGTTTTGAGATCCAGGAGTGTGAGACCTCCTACTTTAGTGTTCTTTTTCAGTAATGCTTTGCTTATCCGAGGTCTCTTTCCTTTCCATATAAAGTTAGTGATTGGTTTTTCCATATCCTTAAAAAATGTTGA